CACATGCAAGACTGAGCACCACCACGCTCAGTTTTAGAGCGCAGCTCTTAGGGGCCCGTTCCCGGCTTGAGCGGCGTCGGCGTCGCCGTCGGCGTCGCCGTTGGCGTTGCCGTTGGCGTTGCCGTCGGCGTCGCCGTCGGTGTAACCAAGGTCATACCAAGGTCACGTGGCCCCCAAGGTCATCCCAAGGTCACCCCAAGGTCACGCGACCCCCAAGGTCACCCCAAGGTCACGCGACCCCCAAGGTCACCCCAAGGTCACGTGACCCCTCCCCCAGGGTCACGTGACCCCCACGGTCACGTGACACCCAAAGTCACATGACCCCCCTGAAGTCACGTGACCCCCCCCCCCCCCCCCCCGAGGTCACGTGACTCCCCCCCCCCCCCCCCCCCGAAGTCACGTGACCACCCCCAGGGTCACGTGACCCCCGCCGAGGTCACGTGACCTCCCCGATGACGTCATCGTCACTGATGACGTCGCCGGCATCCGCATCGTCATTGTCATCATCACTGATGACGTCATCAGTGATGATGGCGATGACGATGCGGATGCCGGTGAGGTTATCAGGGACGTCACTGATGACGTCATCAGTGATGATGACGATGACGATGCGGATGCCGGTGACGTCATCAGTGACGTCACTGATAGCGTCATCAGTGATGATGACGATGACGATGCGGATGCCGGTGACGTCATCAGTGACGTCACTGATGACGTCATCAGTGATGATGACGATGACGATGCGGATGCCGGTGAGGTCATCAGTGACGTCACTGATGACGTCATCAGTGATGATAACGATGACGATGCGGATGCCGGTGACGTCATCAGTGACGATGACGTCATCGGGAAGGTCACGTGACCCTGGGGGTGGTCACGTGACCTGGGGGTGTCACGTGACTTCGGGGGGGCATCCGCATCGTCATCGTCATCATCACAGATGACATCATCAGTGACGTCACTGATGACGTCACCGACATCCGTATCGTCATCATCGCTGATGACGTCATCGGAGTCCGCATCGTCATCGTCACTGATGACGTCATCAGTGACGTCACTGATGACATCATCGGCATCGTCACGTGACCCCCCAAGGTCACGTGACTCCCCCCAGGTCACTTCACCCCCAGAGTACCCTTCCCTCCTCCTCCTCAAGAGCTGCGCTCTAATTCGGTGTTACAGGGAGTTGTAAACGGCTTTCACTTTTTCATCACATTTGATGCTGTTCCGTGGTGCTACACCGAGCCGATGGTCCCTCGAATTTTCTTGTTCTTTGCTATTGCACTAGATGTTCACTTGTTTGCAAGGTAATTGAGACGTCCAAGGAGTCGGAATGCTCGAGTAGTGGCGCCGTTGTTTTTGTGTTTTGTTTTTTCCGCGGCCGCAGTAGGATTACCCCGTGAACGGCAGTGGGATCACGCATTCACGAAGACGAAGAAGCAGACGACGACGAAGCAGACGACAAAGCGATTCTAAAGCGATAAGACGACTAAAACTGCTTTTCTGCACTTGGTGAGGAAAGTAAGGCATCACAAACAACACAATCTTATGAAGTAAAAATATGCAAGAGAATCAAGGTGATACCGGGGCGTGCCAAATGATAATCTATGATGATGTACGTACGCGCAGCCGTACGTAGCCGGGAAGCCGGGAAGGGATGACTACAAGTAGCATGGCGGTGGCACCACTTCCGGAATGCGCGCGCCTACGCAATTCGCTTGGTGACATCGGTCTATCAGAGCGCAGCTCTTGAGGAGGAGGAGGGAAGGGTACTGAGGGGAGGCTATACCCCTCCTCCTCATGATCCCTGCTACTCCTCCTCCCCTCCTCTTCCTCCTCCTTCACCTCCTCCCCCCTTTCTTCAAGCTCCTCCTCTCCTCCTCCTTATCCCTCTTCCCCCTCCTCCTCCATCCTCCCCTAACCCTCGTCCTCCTCCCCCTCCTCCTACCCGCGCGTTGCATCATGGGAAATGTCGCATAATGCACCGCGCGGGACCCTCGTGACGTCACGTGTGACGTCACGAGGGTCCCGCGCGGTGCATTATTCGACATTTCCCATGATGCAACGCACGTTTACGGCGACGGCGACGCCGCTCATGTCGGAAACGGGCGCCTAAGAGCTGTGCTCTAAAAGGAAGGTGGAACACTGGGGTAAGCATTCTTAGATATAAAGGGGGCTTATGACAATGTCATTCAAGGCAATTTGTGGAACATAATGAGGAACTTAGATACGGACGACGGAATATTGAAAATTTTAAGGGATATTTACAAAGACAACAGGTTCTAACAATATAGGAAGGAAAGAGAACAGTTAAGCCAAAAGACAAAACCCCGGCCCTAGACAGGGATGCCCGTTGTTGTTCCGGTTCTACCTCCGAGGGTGAGAGGAAATGTTGGAAAAAAGCAATCTTGGGTTTGACCTTTCACGCAAGGTCAAAGAAGATCATACAGTCATTACCAAGTCTGATGTATGCTGATGACACGCCTAATGGCCAATAGCGACATAGAACTCCAGTCCTTAATGAACATATGGGGCGCGGAGGGCCACAGGTTAGGTTTAAAATTCAGTGGTGACAAATCAGCGGTCATGGTATTCAATGACGACGGAGTGGCAGAGCTTAAGATACAAGGATTAGAGAAAACGGTTAAAGTGCAGGCAAGCTGGTGCAAGTTATACATGATGATTGAAAACCTGAGACTGTCGTTCGAAAAACGGAAACTCGTGAAGTAGGAAGAAAAAGGGACAGACAACGTCTCAAACTCAGCTAAAACCTTTATTGCCTCTACGCCTTATATACACCTCCCCCGGACGTCGAACGTCGCCACCACCACAACGGTTGATCACTGAACTACAAACAATACACCGGAATGACAATACACCGAACAGCAAACAATACTTAAAAAAGAAGCGTTATACAAACAGAAATACAACGTCGTCACCACCGCACCCGGAAGGACTTCGAACCGGACAATGTAACACCAGCACTTGGAAACACAAAAAGACCGTCTCTAACTTACCCCTCTTTCCCCTGAGCTGAACCATGAATGACACACAGTCGCCAACAATGCCCCCGTTACCCGATCCCGAACCCAACAATGCAAACAACTCTGCGAAGCAGCCTCCTCCCCTTTTACGTTCAACCCACACTAGGTCTTTACAGTCGAAGAAATGTTTTTGACTCACTTCCAATCTGACGTCTCATCTCCTCACACCTTTTTCTTTCTACTTCACGAGTTTCCGTTTTTCAAACTACAGTCTTAGGTTTTCAATCATCATGTATAAGGATTACAGGCCGAGCGAGTCAATAAATACAAGCATCTAGGAGTATGGATTAACAAGGCTATAGAATACCTCAATGAGCACGCATAATGTGTAACTGGAACTGCTAAGGGCAGCGAAATGCAGAGGAAAAATAGAGCACCGTGGAACTATAACAGGTATGAAGTGGTGAGGGAGATCTGGAAAGGGAGTTATGGCTCCGAGCCTGCCTTCCGCAAATACAGTTTTGTGCGTAAAACTGGACGTCCAGACAAGGTCAGAAATAAAGCAACGTGGAGTATACGTAGATTGGCCCTGGGAGCACATGGTAGAAGACCGAACCAAGGTGTACAAGGCAATATGGGACCGTTATCATTCGAGGGCAGGGAAGCTAGCAGCAAGATAGAAGCTGAGGATAGGCTAAGAGAACGATGGACACGAAGAGTTCTTAGCTATTTACGCATGAGAAACGTCGAGACAAGATGGAGAAAGCGGACTAGAAAACTTAGATCTAAATACATGGGCAATAGCAGGGAGGCGGATGAGAACATAAAGGTTAAAAAGAGAGTTAAGGAAACTGAGAGAGAAATATGGGAAGCACGCGTGCAGAATAAATCTCCCCCGAAATGTACAGTACATTACCCCATCCTCGACAGTTCTAGGGAGAGCTGCTCGTTGTTCGAGGCGAGGACGGGAGTCTTGCTAGATATCAGGAAGTAGATACGGTGTGTGGAGATTGTGGAGGGGAGGAGAAGACGGCTGAGCACTTGATACTTTACTGTAAGGGGTTTCACCCTGTAGTAGCCGAGGGGGCGACTAAATTAACAAACGCACTGGGATGTAGGGATAGTGAGGAAAAAAACAGATATGGGGAACGTGGAGATAACCAGAAAGAGAGAATCTGAATGCTGTGGCATAGGTCGAGAGAAGGATGAATATTTTTTTTTTGTTTCCGTTCCGGGCGACCCGTAGGGCGGAAGGTGTGCGCACCCGGTTGCATAGAGGCACTTCCGTCGTACGGAGCGTACATAGCTTTTAAGAATAAATCTCCAGCTACAAAACTCTATGTTAAATAAATGTTTAAAAAAAACTGGCTCGGTGGCGGAAGATGCCGGCCACATCCATCCATCCATTCGTGACGTCAGACATTTCAACCAAGCTCGGCCCCCAACTGCCAGGTGGTATTGCGAAATCGTTTTATTCGTTTTGAAATTGATTTTCTCGCGTATACGAGCGAAAGACTGGTGTTTTTGAGCAGCTGTCATAAAGGAGACCACGACTACAGAAAGAAACAGGCGCTCAAATTTCGCTCCCGTACCCCTTTTTTAAATGACGCTCGCTCCCTCGCATATTGCGGGCAGTCCCAGAAAATTAGTGTAATGTCCGCCACTACTTGGCATGTCACGCACATCCCTCCCGGAGACGGGCCCGTTTGTCGGTTCGTCATGAATCCCCGTGCGGGTGTCCGGTGTCATAGCTGCGCGAACACGAAGCCCGCCTTCGATTCACCTGCACCTTCTGCACCGGCTGCGCTGGGTGCACACTGCCGTATTGGATTTATAACTGCAGCTATCGGGAGGACACTTCTCTGCGGAAGCTGGTGAAAGTAAATCGAACGAGAACATAAAAACAAACCGGCGCTTGAAAAACAAATTAAAAAAAAAAAAAAAAACTCATTGTGCGTGCACAGAAACGAGGGGAACCGTGTGCGCATGCTCCGTTCCGAGAGCAGCGCCATCGCAGCGAGGTGAGCCCGCCTTTTGTGCCGCAGCTGGCATGGTTAAAGTTCACGCTTTCAAAGAGGGAAAAGAGGGGGTGTGCGGCCGACAACACCGAGAGCATTGACACGTATCATCGGCTGGAGGACGTCATTATCGAGCCCTAGAGTAACCCTGGAGCGGAAGCGAGGACCGGAGGAAGTGGCGCCGGAAGCGGCCTTCACGCCCCCTTTCTTGAGCCCGTCGATCGGCGGCACACTCGATCTCGGAGCGCGTGGACACCAGCCCTCTTCCGAACAGCTCTCCGGAGACAAGAGACGATCCTCGGGAGCGCTTCCTCCTTTCTCGTCGTCCCTCCTAAGTAAGTGCACCCGCGTGGCGGCAATCATCCTATCGGCGCTATCGGCGCCGCCGAGGCGTCCGTCAGTCTAGGATTTATCCGCATTTTGTCAGCGAAGGCGGTGGGGGCAGCTGCGGAAGATAGGGAGGATAAAGCGACGTCTGGGATCAGTAGTCACGACGAAGATGCCAAAGAGACGATTACCCTTCGTTATCATTTCGCCCGAGCACCGCCACATATGATAAAAAAGAAAAAAGCGCTAAGGAGACAGCCTCGGAAAAAGTGGTCCGACTTCACCTTTTCGGCATTGCGTATCGCGATAAAAACTCGACTTATGAGCCGGTGGACTCACCTCTTTTTAAAAGAGGAGTGTTCTTTTCTTATTGTAAAATGGTTAGTGCGCTTGTGCAGTAGTAGGCCCACAGCTCCTGATAGCGTACGTGCGTTGGTGTATTCACCTCTTGGAGCGCTCTAAAGAACCGATACCTACTCGATAGGTCGCAATCGGGCGACCTAAGTACATACACCTGGGCCACAGTGGAAGAAACATATAGGTGATGACTCTCTGTCCGACGCGGCGGCCACATTATGTTCGGCGCACCGAGCGCTTCACTCGCACGGGGATAGATGGCGCCCATGTATCGGGTCCCTTCCATACCGACCGCTCCGGTTGTTTCTCCCAGCGGTGGTCCCGTATTACCCCGCTCACCGCTTCTTGTAGTACCCACGGTGGAAGACACACATTTAGCTGACGACACTCTGTCCGACGCGGCGGCCACATTTGTTCGGCGCACCGAGCGTGCCTCACTCGCACGAGGATAGATGGCGCCCAAGTATGGCGTCCCTCCCATACCGACCGCTCCGGTTGTTTCTCCCAGCGGTGGTCCCGCATTCCCTCGCTCACCGCTTCTTGTTGTACCTCCGCCGCCACTAAGTCTCCGGAGCCCGCAATCTGTGTTCTCTTCCTTCTTCTTCGGGTTAAGGCTCACCTTCGTGCACGATGGTGGCACCTGTGATCGACACAGCACCAAAGCAAAACACGAGGCCAGCCACTGGTCACACACTGCCACCATACCTCCACACCGCGAAAAAGGCGAGCACGTACGCCGCCGACACCGTGGCCGCTGTGGAGGGAGGCTCAAGTGAGGGTGGGTGCAACTGCTAGATCGGCGATCACGGGATATGGACGCCATTTAATTGCTGAATTTTGCTGGGAGTCTACGGGGCAAAGGGTCGTTTTACTTCCTAACCCAGGTCATAAGAGCCCATTAATGCGCTTGAATAATTGACGCAAGGTATAATTGATCACTTTTCTATGGGCACCAGTTTTCTTCCGATAGGTTAAGTATTTGTTTAATGCGAAAAATGGTATATTCCGCCATCTTGGACGCTGCTGCTTGTCAACCCTGCTTTCTCCTCTCGACGTTTGCTACGCCAAGGCGTTCGTTGCTTGCAGTGGGAGGCGAAAGGAGGAAAGGCGCATAAAGGGGTGTCCAAACAGGACACTACAAAACGCACGACTCCGACAAATCGTGAAAATTGAAGCGGACGCGCCCGCTTCGCGCCCGCTTCAATTTTCACGATTTGTCGGAGCCGTGCGTTTTGTAGTGTCCTGTTTGGACACCCCTTAAGGCAGCAGAGTTGCAACAGAGCAGGCGTCTGCTCTCGTGCAGGCAACATTGGCGCATACCCTTTCCCAGTCCTCTTCCTCAGGCGCCGCCATTAAATTGCAAACGCTCTCCAGGTTTCGAGCTGCGCCCACCCTAACTAGAGCCTCCCTAGAAGGGACCTCATACCTCAGCGCCCTCCGCAGCGGCGCGGAACTAACTGGTTCGAGGCTAGCTTCGAACACGATCTGGTCGCTCGCTCCCCGCGGGAAGAGCGGAGTCATCACCTAAATAGGGAGTTTTCGTAGATCGTTTTCGCCGTTCCGCAAGGCCCTCCGCAACCCGCTACGATAGCGGGAACTCCACAGTCAAGGCTATCAGTGCGCAGGCGCAGTAGCAACTTCGTCGTTGCGGAACGCTTAGCGGAGGGGGCAGCGCGGTCTACGAAAACTCCCTAATGTGTTTCTTCCGCCGTGACCTGGGCCGACTTGCTAGAACAGCGTCTCAGCTGATACTGGGTGAAAGAAAGCGCTGCATAGGATGGGGCGCGTGAGCGTCTTGGGATGCGGTTTCAATGGCTTCGGTCGTGCTTTCTTTCCCCTCTCAGCTGAGACGCTGTTTCTTGCAAGCCGGCTAGAAGCACTCAAATCCGAGTAGCGCTCTGAGAACGCGAGAAAGAAGCTAGATCTTTCCGAGCGCTCTCAATTTTTTCGCATCGCTCCGTCCTCTGACTTGGAAGCGCGTGCCAGAGAACCAGTCACGTGACTCCAGCCGCTTCCGCTGTTGACTTCAATGAGCGAAGAAAACGGGCGGCGCGGCAGTATCTTAGGGGGTTGTCGGGTCGAAACCGGAAGTACTTCATATAGACAAACGTCATTTTTATTTGGATACATGATCTCCCCTTATTAATTAAACCTTTCATGAGCGTATGTACGAAACTGCACCACGAATTTCGCCAGCCTCAATGGCTGACATCCGTAGCTGCTACGTGACGTCACAAAACCCAAAGGATTGTCGGATGGTCTGGATAACAAGTGTTGGTCGGTGAATGTCATGCATTTCGTTTCGAATTAGATTGTCTCCTAGTTTGTACGCCACTGAAATACGTTATTTATTTTTTTAATGCAGTTCCCAAGCGTGTACACAGCTATATCTTCGAGCAAACGTATGCCGTTTCGCGCAAACACAACTGCGACGGCCACCGATCGGACTAAGAGCGCTTGTAGGGATAAGGATGCAGACTTTGCCTTGGAAGCGACATCTGGGTCCACATATTGGCGGATCCACTGAATCGGTGATGAGGATGCGGGTCGTTCCTTCGGAGGCCATGTCCGCGGGTCGAAGGCAAACGGCGAATCGCTCAAGTGCATGCCGTCACTTGACTTGGACCAGCTTGGTGAATCGTAGCCACGCTCTATTTTCACACGCGGGTCAAACAGAATCGAGCTGAACGCGTGCTAAATACAACTTTTGGCGTCGTTTCCGGACGGCCTAGCGGTTGGTTTCGGTTTCGCTGCATAAACCAATTGATTGATCCGATTTGGGCGAGGAGTGGGTGGACAAGGTTGAATATCGTTGATACAGCTTCACACCTCAGCTTACGAACCTTCTGTCCGCTTACAGCTCAGCTCGTAGCTCTCTTCTGCGAGATGATTGCTGCATAAGCGAGATCTGGATCTTGACGGGAACCCAGTCCCTACGCACGGCGACGATCCGTTTCGCTCGTCACTGCACGTCTCGCGGAAGAGTGTGGAACGTCATGTCTTGGCTCGCATGTGCTGCACGGTGGCTGTGGCACCCAACCGCGCAACAAAAATCTCACCCAACCACGAAACAAGTCGAGCGCAAGAACAAAAACAAAGCACGCTGCGGCGTTCACTCGCAGGCAAACGACGCAAGGGAAATGCTGGCTTTGCGTTATGTGACGTCAGAGCTTCCATGTTGCCAATGAAAGCAGCCTTTACGCTAGGATGCGATTGGAGCAGTATACATTGCACGTACGATGCGTCTCGAGGCAATAGGGAGTTTTCGTATACCGCGCTGCCCCCTCCGCTAAGCGTTCCGCAACGAAGAAGTTGCTACTGCGCCTGCGCGCCGATAGCCTTGACTGTGGAGTTCCCGCTATCGTAGCGGGTTGCGGAGGGCCTTGCGCGACGGCGAAAACGATCTACGAAAACTCCCTAATAACTATGATATTCGAGTGTTTTCTCGAATACAAAATTTGACCGGACCTTTTACTCTGGCGATTTTTTTTTTTAGCTACCCCGACTAACTATATTTTCGGAATCACCGGCCTTTACTCTTTCCGGTATGCTATTTAGCATCGCGAAATTCAGAATAGTTATTGTGAAATGGTCGAGTGAAAATGATGCTAAAACCAACATTCAAATATATTTCAGTGGCGTGACGTCGGGAGAACGCAGGCTTGAAGGTTGAGCGGGCAGTCGAATACTGAACTATGCCGAGTATTCGTATCGCGCAGCTGCGCGGGTGCTCGAGCGAGCTTCCAAAGCATTCATTTGACACGATAAAATAGCTTGTAAACAGTGGAGAACAAAGTCTACAGTCCAAAGAGGGAACCCCTGCCTTCTCCTGACGTCACTTTTTCTTTGCCGCCAGTAGACACTTTCAGTTTTGAAAAAAAAAAAAAAAAAAACACGGCGAGGATTAAAATTGTAAATTCGATAACTTCGCGAAAAAAATATAATTAGCCCAATATTTGGGTTACTATTTCAGCGATGCTTGTTGGTGCGTTCAACAAATTTTCGGGGAAATCGGGCCCTATGGAGGAAACGCCGAGTAAAGTATTTGGTACCCAGTGGCGTAGGCAAGGGGGAAATTCGGGAATCGACCCCCCCCCCCCCCCCCCCCCCCCCCCCCCGAAATGCTCGCTCCCCTGCTCAGGCAGTCCGTTTTGCACGGGGCATGGAGCAAAGGGGGCCGCGGACTAGCTCCAACTTATATGCTTTCGGGAGGAATTATTGTGGAGTAGAAAATGCTCAAACAAATAAAATAGTCAATATATCTTCATGTATGCTTATTTTATGGGATGAGAAACTCGATCTCATCTATATAGAGAACGGATATTTTCAAACATTTGTGGGGTGAAGGATGGCAATTTCTACGGGCAGAGTCGCTAGGATCTTGAGACAACGATGGACGTTTGGGAATAGGGCCTTGTAACGAACGACCTTCGCGGCCGCACCTGGACGCGGAACGCCACCCCCTTCTCCAGCGCTCCCGAGGACACGACTTTCGCTGACAACCTCGAGCCACGATTATCTGCACCGCTGCCCGGGTGAACATCCGTACCGTCGACAAAAGAGGAAGACAAGCCGTCGTCGATACCAGCTCAAGTAAGGTGCTGAAAAGGAAAGACGTTCTCCTCGAGGCGTCCAAGGAGGAATCAACGGC